ATACCTTCATTTAATATATTTTCAGTTTTTCTGTCTTTTCCAATAATAAAACTTGTATATTGGCAACCTAGTGTCATGATCCAATAACTAAAATCTAATTCTTTTAATTTCATAAGCATATAAAAATTTTATAAATCAGCCAAAGCACAGTGTAAGACAAGAGAGGAAATATAATGAGTGAAGGGACTATCATGATTACATATATCCTATTTATTATTTTATAATATTGCTATCTATATTAGTATAGTTTTTATAATGACATGAAATTACATCTCAAAACGACAAAAATATCTATAGCCTTATATGATTTGTAATAAGTAAATTTAAGAAGGTAAAACCTTAAATTTATATTTCAATTTACTAAAATTTTGATATTCTACTTATTAAATTGCTTAATGATATCAAATTACAATGTTTATAACATCTATGTAATATTTTGTAAAGATATTGTTACATAATATTTATATCTAAATCATGAGAGAATAAGATCCAAAGTCGTTAGAATAATATTTTTTTTCTAAAAGTATTTATATTATTGATAAATACTGGTTATTATAAAAAGAACGATAAATTTAAAATTTAATACAGAATACTATAATTTAGTTAAATTAAAAATTGAAAGAATATGAAAGATTTATATCTATAAAATAAAAGCAAATAATTAAGTTTATCTTATCGTAACAGTGAAAATTATTATATTTTCTTAACTATAAATACTAATTAGATAAATATTTGCATTTAACCTTTTTTTAGCTAGCGTATATTCTCTTGAGTATATATTTTTTTATTTATAATTATTAACATAAAGATATCGAATTTTAGAAAGAAAAAAATAAAATTGCATATTCTTGATTGCTTTCAAACAGGATATTCAAAAAAATCTAATGAAGACCTAAGAAAAATTTGTACTTAAATGATAAATTTATTACTACAAGTAGCCCAAGTTATTAATTGTATTGTTGAGTTTTGATTATATCCAAAATAGAATTATTTCAATATTTCTTTTATAGTAGAGTAGATTCTGATTACATTTATTTGAATTTATTAATAAACTAAATCAAAAATAAAAACTCAGTTATCATATTGCGTTTCTTTCAGTTTCTAATTGTTCCTTAAACCCATTTCAACCCATATTCCTACTTTATCCCCTTACAAATTATACTCACCAATGTAAGTTCTTTCAAGGTTATACCCAAAAGATTCCCACAATTCTACCCAACTTCCAATCTTTACTCCAGAAGAACTATCATAGGATCCGCCACCTCTAAGATATTTAATCCTACTATAATTACATTAATTTATATTCTTTCTCTTCTACCTAACAATACAAAGTATCCCATCTACCAATTTTCATACCTTTTATATTATATTCACCATCATAAATGACCTACTTAAATCTCCAAAAATCTTTCTCAATATCTACCCATCTCCCAGTCTTATTTCCATAAATGCTATCATAAAATCCTCCACCACTAAATTATGATACTGATATTATTTACATATTTTAACCCATGCTTTCTATATTCCATCTACCCATCTTCTTACCCTTTATATTATATTCGCCATGTAAATGAATATAATACCTATCATGCCACAGCTCTTACCACTTACCAATCTTAAGTCCTTAATCGCCATCATACCATCCACCTCCACTAATATCTTTCTAGTTTTATATTTTACATTTATTTATATTATTCCTATTCGTAACATTTGATATCCCATCTACCCGTCTTTATACCTTTTGAATTGTATTCACCATTATAAGTCACCTAAATATGGTTCATAAAGTTCTCCCACAACTCCACCCAATTGCCAACCTTAATTCCTTAATTGAAATCATATGATCCACCTCCACTAACATCTCTATAGTTTTAACAATTTACATTAATTTGTATCCTACCAATTTATCATCAATTAATATGATATCCCATCTTCCCATC